AGGGAGGCTCTGTCTGCATGTTTAAACAGTTAGATTTAATTTCTCTACAGACCCTTCTGTCTCTTGTCAAGTTTGTTTAAAACTAATGGAAGCAATTATCTAACCACGGAGAGATGTGCGTGGCTGGTAGCGGCTGTGGGTTCTAGGCGCCAGGCGGTCCCATGTTGGCCGAGGATGGAACAGGTGCCCTCCTCCCCAGGAGGATTTCCCTCCTGTGGCACCTGCATTTCCACACAGGTGTTTTCTCCCCTAAGAAACAACTCTTTTGTACCCCACAATTCTTTCTGGGGCTGCAGCGTCCCTAGGGCCCAAGGCAGCAGGCTGGTCCGTGGCTTCCCTGCAGAAACCCTGCATCCTGAGGCAGAAGTGGGAGCCAACACCCCAGTGGGACCTGAGGGGCCGTAACCTTGGGGATTCCTCAGAGGCACCGCCTGGGGCCCAGTTCACACATCAGCTGCAAAATGTTCCCTCAGAATGTGCAAGTCAGAAGCTCCCCACACCACACCGCTACCCCCATCCCCCACCAGGCTTGGCATCCTCCCAGCCTCGGAAAGAGCCAACCCTGCTGGGCGAGGGTGACAGATCCCTGAAGTCAGGTGGCAAACCCTGCTCCTCCTCCCACCACCTTCACGGCAATCCCGCTCCTCCTCCCCCCACCTTCACGGCAATCCCGCTCCTCCTCCCACCACCTTGACGAAGGCATGAAACGTCCCTGAGCCTCAGCTTCCTCATCTGCAAAATGGGCCAGCTCCACTCGCCGGTGCTGCCTTCCCATGCCTGGCAGCGCACCCGCTGCATGGAGGCTGCAGGGACTGCGACAGTACGTGTGATCTGCATTCGGGTCGCAGTGGCGGCTTTTCAGGGCATTGTAGGTTTTTGCTGGTACATCGTGGGAAAAGTTTTCTGGGAATCCATTGGATTTTAATTCTCTCCTGAAGACTAAGAGAGAAATCAGGAGATCAAAAACAAATACGTAAGAAAACTAAAAACTAAACTTCCAGTCGGGGTGCTGCTGCTGGGTTGCTTGCCTTCCCGCTGGGTGGCTGCTGACGCGGTCTCCTCTGGGGGCTGTTTCCCACGGGGAGGGAAGTGCGGGGGGGGTCCCATGAGGATTCTGGGCTGAGCACAAAACAGGACAGAAGCCCTCTTTCTGCCCTCAGCCTGACGGGAGCCCCGGAGCACCCCCACTTCACCCTGACCAGGTGCCTGATGCTGTCTGGTCCCAGGGCTGCACATTCACCAGTCCTGGGGGGATGCGGCAGGACACAGGAATCCGAGTTACGAAGCCAGAGAATGAAACAAAAATGGGTGATGTGAGGGGAGGTGTGGGGCAGGTTACAGGTTTCCATGGGAGCCAACATCCCAGCCAGGCCTGAGCACTGGGCCAGAGCCAGCTCTGCCAGAAACCGCCAGTCACAACCTCTGTGTCCAGTCTGGAGAGTCCAAAGTGAGGGGCCTGGATGGGGCTGAGGCATCAGGTTCCTGCCTAGAGGAGGCTGAGTGACAGCGGGCTTGGAGCCCGGGCCCAGCTCAGAAGGTGAAACTGGAAAGACTGCCCAGTGCTGGCCAGAGCCAAGGTTCAGGCAGAGAGCAGGCCACTCCCGACCGCTGCAGAGGCAAGGGCAGCACAGGACCCCAAGCACCCACAGAAAGTTCTGTAAGTAGCCAGGGGCCTCTCCAGCCGACGCCTCAGGTTCAGACTCCAACCACGTTCGTAGAGAGGCAAAGCAGAATCCAAATAAGTCTGTGCCAGGCAACACTGTGAGAAGCATCCTCTCTGCACACGGGGACACTCGGTGCATGCCGACACCCACACGTACATGTGCACTTTTCTGTTGTCCTCCTGGAATGCATTTAACCTTGCAGAGAGAGGCAAAGACTCCAAAAATTAAAAAGGAAGCAAGAGGAAGGAAGCAGATTGAAGAGGAAACAAAGGTGAAAAATAGAATGGAATGTGTTGAGGTTAGTAAATGTCTCAGCATTGTTAGAAAAGCTGGCTACGGTACTGCCTCTGAGCTTCCCAGTAGCCAAAGTAAAGAGGGAAAACATATTTAGGCAATTCACAAGGAAAGACAAACAGGATACGGGGAGGAGTCCCCATCCCAAGACCTCAGACATCTCTCCCTTGGAGCTGCCCTGCACACTCACTTGCCGTTTCTATAGCATGGCAAAGTGTTAGTAACATTCTGAGTGGCGTTCACAGGTACCCACATTTCAGAGTTTCCAAAGGGAGTGTTCATACGCTCAGTGCTAATGTTCTATGAATGCCTCTGGCGTCACCAAAGACCTGCCTTATTGCTCTTTCCTTATGAAAGAGGCCACAGCCTGGTGGGGCACAGGAGCAGGTATTGAAGGTTCTGAAGTTCGTTTCTTCTCCTGGAATGCAGGTCCCCCCCAACACTGGGGTCTCTGAATGACCCCCCATCTTCCCGGCCTCTCTCCAGGAGGGTGTGGGCCAGCACCATTTGCGTAACCATGTCCTGACACTTCGTCCCCTGGGCTGCTTCCTTCTCTGCCAGTGACTGCTCCAGTTTTCCTCCTGCTTCTCTGGGATGAGGACTCAGAATCGCAAACGCCAGTGGCCCGAGTGTTCAGACACAGACGTCGTGTTTTGAGCAGAACACCCAAGTTATGGTTAGACCGAAACAGGATGTTGGGACTGCATCTTGTCACAAAGGCCTGGAGCTTTCTCATGATTGGACGGGGCCATGTCAGACACAGACAGAAAAGGCATAAAGATCTAGGAAGTGGCCGGGTGCAGGGGCTCATGCCTGTAATCCCAGAACTTTGGGAGGCCGAGGCGGGCAGATCACCTGAGGTCAGGAGGTCAAGACCAGCCTGGCCAACATGGTGAAACGCTGCCTCTACTAAACATGCAAGAATCAGCCAGGCATGGTGGTGGGCGCCTGTAGTACCAGCTACTCGGGAGGCTGAGGCAGGAAAATCACTTGAACCTGGGAGGCGGAGGTTGCAATGAGCCAAGATGGCACCACTGCACTCCAGCCTGGGCAACAGAGCAAGACTCCGGCTCAAACAACAACAACAACAAAAATCTAGGAAGCTGGTGTGCAGGGGCCCTGGTGCAGTCCCCTGGGTATCACTCCCCCAAGCCACCCACGGAGCTGCCTTTGAGGGCCCTGTCGTAGTTTCATCCAGGGTGTCTCCCGCAGGCAACGCTTTTCACCTGCGAAGTCCTTGGTTCACGTGACCGACGCCCCCGCTGTTTCCTGCCCAGCGGTTCAGACGGTGGTGGCCCATTCATTCTCAAAGCAGCTTCAACGCTTGCCTGAGGTGGTGCCAAAGCTGTGTGCCTGTACTTTTTTTTAATTACAACACTGTTTAATCCTGAAGACAACACAAACCCTCCTGCTGCTGTCAAATTGCATTAGTTTTATTAGGAATTTGCTTTTAGAGAACAAAGGGGCTTATTTGTGTATTTGTGCTCATCTCTCAGCAATCACAGAGCTGTCATTTTTATCTTTGTCATTGACAATCGGATGTCAGAAATGATTGATCCACTAAGTTGTTGCTGATTTTAACTTGTTTACCATTGGGCAAACAGTAGTTATAAAAGCAGTTTGGAATTTTCCTGTCACTTGAAAAACAAAATGTAATGATTCCGTCCTTAGAGGGGGAGTAGGTCCAGGGAGCCATAGCGGACCCTTGCCTGGGTTGCCGCCGTCCATCAGAGGAGCCACCGGGGGGGCCCTGGAGTCTGGAAGTTTCATTGCTCTGTGGAACCAGACAGGGTGGAAATGCCTGGTGTCATCACGTTTAAAAACATTTTCACATGAAACGCACAAGTGGGAGGTGCCATTGGCTGGGAAGATACCTAAAGTGAACTATTTGAGACGAGGCAACAGACACGTCATTTATTCTTTCAAGGCAGGCAACAGTAAAAGGTGAACGCGAGGGGAAAACACTTTATCTAATGTAACAGTGAGTCGCTTTTTTTTTGTTTCTTGAATAAATAGTAATTAAATCATGTAAGCTGTGACAGCAAAATTGCTTGAAAAACCAATCCTCCTACCATAATTGCTTAGATACCCACATTTTTATAAATACTAGGTAACTTTATCCGTGGCTTTTATCAGCAGAATGTGACACGGGTTGTGGGCGCGTCATAATTCACCATGGCTGTAGGTGACAGTTGCAAAAGCACACGTCTAAAAAATGCACTAATGTGTCCGGATGAATCTGCGCCTCTGGAGGTGTCTTTTTCTGTGGCAGAATTAGAGATGGCCATGGTGCTGGAGCCGTGAAGGGAGGTTGGCATCCTGGTGCCTAGTAATGTTTTGGAAGTGAAGCAATGCACAGCACCCAGCAGTATCAAGAGACTGTCTGCCTTCAACTCGGTTTCCAATTCACGAAGAAAGCACTTGGTGGGGCCAGGGTCTGCCCTGGCCGCATCTGCCCAGCCCACCCCAAGGCAGTTTGCAGGCATCAGTTCTGGCTTAGTAATAAAAAGGACCAGAAACGCAGCAGAGCCCAGTTCTGCTGCCAGAATCCACCTGCCGTGGGGGAACGGTCCCCAGATGCCAGCTCTCTCTTGCTCCTTCTTGGGGTGGAGAAACAGGTCCATTAGGGGCTTCACAGTCTCCCCTGGCAGGAAGAAGATTTGCGTAGGCAAGAGTGGGGGGAACCGAGGGCATATTTTTGAGGTGGAGGGTACCCACTGTGCTGCTCACAGACTCCGGCTGAATTCGGAGGTAATAGCGGCCAGGGAGAGATGCATTTGCGGAAGGGAGTGCAGCTGTGTTGTAGATAGAACGGAAGCTCAGCGTTGCTTTGTTTTTTCCCTCCTTTTTTAAAGGCCTCTGGCTAATTCTCTAGGGGTTGAGATAAAACACACCACCCTCTCAGGAGGTGGAGAAATCAGTGCAGACCTCATGCCCCTGATGCCCACGGGGGGCCTGGAGAGCGTCCTGCATGGTTGCTGCCATTGTTACCACCCTTCTGCTGGCCAGGCCGATCCTGACTGTCTCCCTCTCCTCTTGCAGTCAAGTTCAGCAGCTGTGTGGGGACCAAGGGGACGCAATACGAAACCAACAGCGTGGACTTCAAAGTCGGGTCCGACGGGACGGTCTTCGCCACCCGGGAGCTGCAGGTCCCCTCCGAGCAGGTGGCATTCACGGTGACTGCGTGGGACAGCCAGACAGCAGAGAGATGGGACGCCGTGGTACGGCTGCTGGTGGCCCAGACCTCGTCCCTGCACTCTGGACACAAGGTAAGGTGTGACCGCCCAGGTCTGCACCGGACTTTAGATGTCTTAGTTCCTCCTGCAGGCCCCGGGCAGAGCCTCTGCCAGGGCTCCCTCAGGATGGACAGTCACCTCCTCCTCGGGCTGTGCCGCTCAGGTCATTGCCAGCCGAGCACCCCTGCCCTCTTCACTGACCTGAGACACGGCCATCGTTGCAGGAAGGTCCCCTGGGCAGGTGCACAGGCCCCACACTCAGGTTCAGACACTATGCCACGGTCTCGATGCTTTTCATACGTTTTTGAACAAGGGGCCCCACATTTTCATTTCAAACTGGGCCCTGCACATTCTGAAATCTCTCCTGCCTCCCGAAGTGTGTAGCCACCAGGCCCAGGGCGTTCTGAAGCCTGGAGGGACGAGAAGCGAGGCAGGGATCATGTGGTTGGAAAGGAGCCAACCGGAGAGTGGGGAAGGGATGGAGAGAGACGAAGAGAGAGGAAGACAGGTGAAGGGAGACAGGAACGGACGGGTAGGAGAGGGAGAGAGGGAGGGGGGAGAAAGAGAAGAAGAGAAGCAGAAAGACAGGAAAGGAGAGGAAGGGAGAGGAAGAAGGAGGGAGAGAGATGGCTGGGAGAGGAGGAGAGAGAGGGGAGAGAAGGGAGAGGGAGAGAGAGAGGGAGACGGGGGGAGAGGGGGGAGAGAGAGAGAGGAGAGGGAGACGGAGGGGGGGGGAGAGAGAGAGGAGAGGGAGAGGAGGGGGGGAGAGAGAGAGGAGAGGGAGACGGGAGGGGGGGGGGAGAGAGGAGAGGGAGACGGAGGGGAGAGAGGAGAGGGAGAGGGGAGGGGGGAGAGAGAGAGGAGAGGGAGACGGAGGGAGGGGGGGGGAGAGAGAGAGGAGAGGGAGGGAGGGGGGGGGGAGAGAGGAGAGGGGAGGAGGGAGGGGGGGGGAGAGAGAGGAGAGGGAGACGGAGGGAGGGGGGGAGAGGAGAGGAGGGAGGGGGGGGGGGGGGAGAGGGGAGGGAGGGGGGGGGGGGAGGGGGGAGAGGAGGGAGGGGGGGGGAGAGAGGAGAGGGAGAGGGAGGGAGGGGGGAGAGAGAGGAGAGGGAGAGGGAGGGGGGGGGGGAGAGAGGAGAGGGAGACGGAGGGAGGGGGAGAGAGGAGAGGGAGACGGGGGGGGAGAGAGGAGAGGGAGACGGAGGGGGGGAGAGAGGAGGAGGAGAGGAGGGAGGGGGGGAGAGGAGAGGGGGAGGGAGAGGAGAGGAGGGGGGGGGAGAGAGAGGAGAGGGAGACGGGGGGGGGGAGAGAGAGAGGAGAGGGAGACGGAGGGAGGGGGGAGAGAGAGAGGAGAGGGAGACGGAGGGGGGGGAGAGAGAGGAGAGGAGAGGAGGGAGAGGGGGGGGAGAGGGGAGAGGGAGAGGGAGACGGAGGGGGGGAGAGAGAGAGGAGAGGGGAGGGGGGGAGAGAGGAGAGGGAGACGGGGGGAGGAGGGGAGAGAGAGGAGAGGAGACCGGGGGGGGAGAGAGGGGGGGAGGAGGAGAGGGAGAGGAGGGGAGGGGGGGGGAGAGAGGAGAGGGAGACGGAGGGAGGGGGGGAGAGAGAGGAGAGGGAGAGGGAGGGGGGGGGAGAGAGAGAGAGAGAGAGACAGCTTCACACAGACATAAAACGTCTGCTGTTCAGCATCCCAGCTGCCCTCTGACTCTGCCTCCTTCTAACCCGCTGCCTGGCTCATCTGGGTGACAGGGAGGGCGCCTTCACTATCCCCTGTCCTGAGAGCTCCCTTTCATCCCCGCATATTCCAGCAATCCAGCACCAGGCTCCTGAACAACCTGTGTTCATCCCCCAGTTCCTAGCTGTTAGGTTCCCTGTGCCTTATGGGGAAGTGGCCAGGTCCCGTCCACCTTGAGTGTCCTGGCATTGGTTGCAGCCACTACGCCAGCCTTAAGGTGTGGAGGCTGCTGAAGAAGCTGCAACCAGGAGGTCTGTGGGAGGGCGCTAAGGAAGGCCAGCCTTCGTTCAGGTCCAGCTGTTGCAGCTGCCTGCCTGGGGGGCCACAGTGGTGGAGAGAACGTGTGCCAACCCCTCCAGATCCCCCGCCCCAGGTAACATGAGGCCTCTGTGGGGTCATTTGAGGTATGGTGAGCAAAAGAAATCACCATGCAAGGCGGCGGCCGCTAGCAATCATGGGCACTCCCTTGGAAAAGGGACCTCAGGAAGTAAAGCATTAAGCAGAGGCAAGCAGATTCCTTTCCGTGGGTTTCCCAGAACCTCAGGCCTCGTGTGCTGTGTAAGCCTCTGAGTGGGACACAGTCTGCAAGTTTCCCCAAACTGTCTGACCAAGGAACCCTTCTCCATGGAAAGCTTGCAAGACAGGTGTGCCAAGGAACCCACTTTGGGAAGGGAGGGACCTGTGTCTTCTTCTGACTTGTTTCTTAGATGGACGTGGAGGTGGTTTAGGTTAGAAAAGACAAAGTGTGACTCGGGCGGACAGTCTTCAGCGCGTGATGAGCTGACCCCCAGGGGGAAGGAGGTCTTGAGCATCCTCCTGAGTGTGTTAAACCAGGCAGCAGAGTGTGCCTCTAATGGCAGTGGCCCCCAAATCATGAGCCCCACCTGTGAGTCCTGAAGAGTCTAGGATGGTGTATGTCATTTTTGTTCTTTCCTGAGTGATTATTACAAGCCACGCCCGGTGAGCCTGGACATCCTGGGGACCCTGTGCCATGGGGGCCCCTTCCCTCCAGGAGTTGTACCGGGACACTGACAGGCAGGGACTTGCATCCCCATCACGCCTGTGACTTCCAAGCTGTCCCCAAGTCTCCGATTGTGATACAGAAACTTGGCACCTCGTGAGCCGAGAGCAGAGCCCCTGAGAGCCTGTCGAAAGCCTCTGGTGAAGGCTCTGATTGAAAATATAATGGCACCTTTTCTTGGGCATGTTAATGAAGCGATTTCAGATTTAATCCCCTGATCCTCTGAGGAAGGGGCAGGTCCAGCTGTGGTTGCTGCTAGACAGTCCCCGTGGGAATTGCTCCTCGACCCACGCCAGGCTGGCGCAGGAAGCACCCAACCAGAGGAGCAGGGGACACTGAATTCATGTCCCAGGCCCAGCACACCCGGGGAGCCAGGTGTTAAATCAGGCAGCAGAGCGCGGCTGTAACGGCAGTGGCCCCCAAATAGTGAATCGTGAGGCCCACCTGTGAGTCCGGCGTATGTCGTTTTTGTTCTTTCCTGAGTCATTATTACAAGCCACGCCCTGGTGAACAAGGCAGGCCCTTGGGCAGCCTGGGGACCCTGTCCCATGAGGGCCATGGGGTCACTGTGGGGTGCAGCCCTGAGTCCCTAAGACATGGCTGTTGCAGGGCGCAGTGGGCAGTCTCCGCAGCCCAGGAGACCCGGTCCTCCAGCACTTGTGTTGCCAATGGTTCCTCTCCTGACTTTCTAGGACCCACTCAGACCTTGCCCCAAGTGGTGTTAGCTCGTCTAACCCTCTCCACACGCCTGGGAGTGGGTGCTGTCATATCACAGATGAGGGCGTTGAGCATGTGACCACAGCTCTGTGCTGCATGGGAGAGCGATGTGTGGGGAAGGAATGGAAAAGGACTTTGCAGGTGTGGCAGAGCCCGGCATGGTGCAAGAGCAGCCGCCATGTGTGGGGAAGGAATGGAAAAGGACTTTGCAGGTGTGGCAGAGCCCGGCATGGTGCAAGAGCAGCCGCCCGGGGTGTGGGTCCACGGCAAGGCTTCTGCGACTTACTGGCTGGGTGTGTTGGGAGAATTCACACAACTTTGAGGTGAGCTGCTCCGGAGAATGGGAGAGTAATGCTACCCACGTCCCAGCCAAAGGGAGTTGATATTTCATGAGGTTATGGAGGTCGGGGGTGGAAAATAGCAGCATATGGCTGTCATTGCCTGGTTCCAGACTTCACGGTCCTGTGCGTATCACAGCTGCTGGGCCTTGCCGGGTGGCATGGGGGCAAGAGGAGGCAGGCAGGGAGTGGGAGCCACTGTGGGACGCTGGGTCACCTGGTTGATGCGCCCTTACAGAGCGTGATGCCAGTCTCTATCGATGATCAAGGTGACACCGGATTGCTGGTGTCCTGGCCGCCTGCCAGAAGCAACTGTGCATCTTCCCCAGTGTGAACTGTCACCCAGGCCTTGAGCTGTGCCCATCTCCTTTCATATTCAACGTCCAGCACTCAGCCTCATGACTGGGCACATGAGGAGGGATAAGATGTAGAAAGAACAATCGAAAGAAGTAGCAGAAAAGAAAGGACCCACAGGGGCCAGGTGCGGTGGCTCATGTCTGTAATCCCAGCACTTTAGGAGGCCGACGTGGACAGATCATGAGGTCAGGAGATTGAGACCATCCTGGCTAACACAGTGAAACCCCATCTCTACTAAAAATACAAAAAAATAAAATAAAATTAGCTGGGTGTGGTGGTGGGCACCTGTAGTCCCAGCTACTCGGGAGGCTGAGGCAGGAGAATGGCGTGAACCCGGGAGGCAGGAACTTGCAGTGAGCCGAGTGAGCCACTGCATTCCAGCCTGGGTGACAGAGTGAGACTCTGTCTCAAAAACAGACAACAAAGAAAGGACCCACAGAGGCTCCAGAGCATGGGACGATCAGACAGATTTTACAGTAACTACACTTACTATCTTTAAGCAAATTAAATAGAAGACTTTGAGAGATAATTAGAAGGTATAAGACAGAATTATTAATCATTGGGCAATTTGGAACTGAAAACTAAACCAAACAAAATGAAGAGCTCAATGGATAGATATATCTGCAGATTTGACATAGCTGAAGAAAGAATTAGTGAAGCAAAAAATATCAAAAACATTCATGCTGTAAAGCGTGAAGAGATACACAGAGGGAAAATACAGAAGCAAGTGTAAGAGATATTGGAGAAGTAGTAAGAAGGTCTAACGTGTATATTTGCAATATGAGGGGGAGAGAGAAAACGGAGCAGAAGTAATATTCGAAAATATAGTGGCAGAAAATATTCCAAAACTGATAACATTCATCTAGGCATG